CCAGACCACAGACTGGAGACCACCCTCTGGTCAAATGGGTTGGGATTTTTGGTTCTTTGTAATGCAGCGAGAGCAGCTGTCAACAAGGTTGAGAGCCGATGCTTGTAGTATATCTGGCAAGAAGCTTTTGAGAGGATGGAGTTGCCCATGGTCAGTCAGTGGCATGGGGCCTGCTGCTGTCGCACTGCTCAGTTCTCTATGGACAATGCACGCACTATATTGTCATTGCAACGTGCTCAAGTTGGGAAACCGAGTGCTTCTATATCGTTTTGATAATGCAAGCATTGGCATTCATCACTCTGAAGGTGCTTGGCACCAGTGTGGCGGCATTCCTCAAGCATCAAATTATGAGAAGAGCAGTAACACTGCCCAAGGCTCAGATCTGGACTGTGGATGCCCCAGGGAGGCATTGGCCAACCCTGAGATGACAGCTTCGATGTTTGACCCCCAAAACATTCAAGCCATGATCCAGATAGAGCAGGCCGTGCAGCAGCTCCAGGTAAGCAAACCCGCACAACAGAGATTGCCACATTTATCCGCGGCACTTTGCGTTGCGGACAAATCACAGGAGTGAATGAATAAATGAATAAAGTAGTTTGACAATGTTTGGATCAATAGTTACCACGCTGCTGGTTTGCAATGTACTGCTATTGCTGGTTTCCATCATGTTGTTGATATGGTGCATGCCATCATAGCATTGCTTGTTAGGCATTCTGTGACAAATGTTTCGGATGCTATGGAACAGTATTCATCAGCGCAACACTTCTTTCTTCGAGTCTAGGTATTAATGAATCTCATGGAGGAATGCCACTGTCATGTTTTGTGCCCGCTACAGCCCGTCGGCCAGCAAGCTGTTCAATCAAACACTACAGATCCCATCACGTTCAGAATGAAGGTCTAGGCGCCTGTAGAACAGCAGCCTGCAGATGTGCATCTTGGAAAGATGCTTGTTCTTGCATTGGCACCTCAAGGACAAGGAGCGCAGAACGTCTGTCTGGTGCACCAAACTCGATGCCTCCAGACCTCAATCATCGGGTTCCAGCACGGAAACAAAAACGCCACAACTTCCAGAAGCGGAGGTGCTTCATACTGTGTTGGTTTTAATATTTGTGGGCAACAATTTTGTCGCTCTAGATGCATGCGGCTGCTACCCATATCTAGTGGTATCGAACCACACACAATGATACACAACACTGCGCGTTGCCAAGTCACCTACCATGTCTAGCGGTATTAAAACGGGGGCCTGCTTGATCCAGGGGTCGGGCCTCGGCAACGTGATGGGCTTGGGCAACCCAGGAGCCAGTCCTCTCAGTGGCGCGGGCGGCGCTGATGCAGCCTCGGGCCTGGCACAGCTGCTGGCAGGCGGGATGGGCGGCATGGCTGGCATGGGTGGCGTGCCACCTGTGGCGGACCCGGAGGCCTCGTATGCCGCGCAGCTGCAGCAGCTGCAGGACATGGGCTTCAGCGACCGGCCAGCAAACATACGTGCACTCCAGGCGACGGGAGGGAATGTGCACGCTGCCGTGGAGCGGTTACTGTCTGGGATGTGATTTCATTGATGGGCGGTGAAACAACATTGTGTCACAGTTGACGTTGGCGAATACATGCCAGGCTGACGATGGGCTTACTGGGCGCTGGATTCCCTATCGGTGCTTCAAACGCCGTCCGGCCACATGGTGTGCTGTGCGGTATTGGCGACAAAGGCTTTTTGAGGCGCTCCATTCGATTCTCCTGGCGGAGAGCACTGCTGTAGCAACTGTGGCTTTGGCCGATTGGGTTGATGGCGAACTCGCCCGCAGCAGTAGTATTAGGCCTTGCTATGGGTGAAGAGGCGACCCGGCTGGCGGGGCAGTCATGGCGATGGCAGCAGGAGATGGCCCAGTGCAGCAGTGCGGGTAGCGAGCGATATCCATCCCCGTACGGCTTGGCGCCGTGGATCATCCGTGTAGAATTGGCGGATCGCAGGGTGCCCCGCTTGCATGTTCACCATCATGGGTGCAACTGGGCTCTCAGCACACCTGGCTAGATATGGGGTGACCTACTCGGCAGCCGAAATATTCACCGACAACATTTGTGGAAAGGCAGGGCAGGCGTCAATGCAGGCGTCAGGGCGTGACAAGGCTTGGACGGTTGTAGATATAGCAAGCGTTGCCCTTTCATCTTTTAGGCAATCACGTGTGGCGCCTTTACGGGAGGCGATTTGACACTGGCCATCAAAGCACGCCATCACTGCTCGTGGTTTGGGTATTGACGCCTGCACGGCCACCAAACGCCTCGAACGAACGAAGCGAAAGGACACGTCTTGAGCTCGGGACCTCGGGCTGCATCCGCGGGTGACGGGCGCGGCCGTCTTTCCAATCGTACAGTCTTGTCATGTGGGGATAACGCGACTGCGTGTGTCCAGGATCCAATAGGCCGCATGGCCACAGCCTAGAGCCGACAAGGCCTGTGGCGAAACGACACTTTTTGTCTCACAGGCCCGGCGGAACTGGTCGCGCTCGCCCGCACGACGCCGCTGGAGAGCCGTACGCGTTGAGTCCGCGCCTTTTCCGATACCCGCACGGCCGTCGCGTCACCCACCCATCAATCAACCGACGCCCTGCAACACACTTGGGCGTCAGCGCCAATCCGCCTCCCTCCCCCTCGGGCCCACCGTACTGTGGCGCAACGTTCTTTTGCAAGCACAGAGTACGACACCAAGAGCCCTCGTCCCGCGCCTCCGACACATTTTCGACAGCACCTCAGGCCTCCCTCAAACCCCTTCCCGTCTTCCCACCCGCAAAAGCCACGCGGACACATCGACACAAACATAGCCCATCCCCCATCACCCCGCGCGCAAGTCTCACAAGCAGTACACCGCCGGCCCTTGGGCAACTCGCCTCGAGCTTTGGGCTTTGGCCGATCCCTTGAAAGGTTGGCCACGCCCGGCAGCAGGCCACCGCTCCGCGAGCTTCCCCGGGCGGCCCAGACGGCATCCCCCGCCTGGGCCTGCCACGGAGGGCCGCGAGGCAATTCGGGTGGCCGGATTTGCCCAAAGGGGTGGGATGGCCAAGGGGGTGGGCGATGGGGAGCCGCTGATTCCGATTGGGGGGCAGAAGCGGGGTGGCACCGGGCGTGGGGCCCTGCTGCGGGACGCGACCAGGTGGACGATCTTCAGGAATGGATGCCTGATAGCGACTTGGTGAGGAGAGGGGGAGAGGGGGACGGGGGGGGGCGTGGAGTTGTGCGCCGAGACTCCTTGTCGGCAGCGCCCCAAGGCGTCGCGTTGGCAGCTGCGTGCCCCATCTTCAGTCGCCAGGCTGTGAAGCGAGAATCTGTGCTTGGATCAAATCCAACTTTGTTGCCGACTCTCTCGCCGCCTCCGTTTGGCGTCCCTCCTGTGGCGAATCTGGCGTGTTGGGATCCCCCCAACCGAGATGCGACACATCAGCCCTGCCTGCTAGTTGGCATTGCCCGCCGAGGTTGGGGGGTTGATCTTGGGAAAGATCGACTGCTCATTTTGCCATTTTCGCGTTGCAAGCTCTCTATGCCATGTGTTGATTTTGGTAACTCACAGGGCCCATCCCTGACATGTGGGTCGGGTCTATCCCCTGGGAACAGGTACTTCTTCAGCACCACCCTCAGCCTACTTAACAAAAAGCTCATAGGCAAGAAGCACGGCATCTATGGCAATACGCCTTTTCCAGGTAAGCCGCGATGCAAGGACGCCCGCCTGGCTGTTCCGGATTGTCCCAGATGCGATGTTCATGTGCTTGCGGAGGGTGCCATTGGTGAAGAACGTCCTGTTAAAACGGACAGTATCGTGCCTGACGAATGCGTCTGCACCCCCTGCCACCTCGTTGACGCATCAGCGCTTTTTTTCTTTGCTTTGTACAGTCCAGTTGACAATGTGGTACTCAAATTGATTTTATGTTGCCCCAAGCGGGGAATGTAAGCGTTGTTAGTTCAGTTGAGGCCTTCTTCTTATGCCAAAGATGTGCGGAACTCTCCCTTTCTAATGCGGATGTGTGAATTGAGTCAATTTTCCACAATCTGGAAATGGTGCAGAAGTTCCAGACTAAAATGGAGCTTCATGCAACTGTTGTTGCCAGTGAAGGGAGGGGGGGTAGGAGGAGAGGGAGGTTGGGTTCGTTGTGCCACTAAAGGAGGTGCTTTTGGAGTGCCAAAAGATTGGTATTTTTGTGATATTTTGCTGTGATGTCGAATTCAACCACCAGGACATTGTACATATGTGAGGATTCACAGCAGGGTATGTGGCAGGCTACACCACCATAAAAACTGCCACCAAAACATTAGTGATCAGGGGTGAGCTCTGGAACAAAATGCTGGCGGGGATGTCTGCTCTTCAATTACTGCATGAGCGAAAGGTTCCCTGCCATTCTCTCCATTCTCTGCTGTATTCTTGTCCATTTTCTGTGCCATTTGAAATGACTTGTGAATTGGCTTCGACAGCATGGAAATTCCATCAAAACACCATGGTCAGGAAGGTCTTTGAATGAAGATAGATTGGAGTAACAGAGTAGGCAGCGACAGCCACGGTCATCTCCTAGTCATTACTATTGAGACTCTGTTCCCCAATAAAAAGAACTGATTGTATCCAGAACAGGAACATGAAAAACGACACACTGGCCACAGCATGTCTATCTATTGATTTCAGATCAGTAGCTGGTATCAGCTGTGTGGCATTCAAGGAGTTCAGAATGCTTGGCAAATTAACACCCTAATTCATCGCAAGAATGTACTGAGTGTACAGGTGGCCAGACAGCAGCACTCTATTAGACGATTCTGTGGTCTTGGAATGGAGAGGAACAAGTGTGTGACTGTAGCGGGTGGCTTGTGGATGTTTGCCGAAATTCCATTCCTTTCACTGGATTGTGTTCAGGGAAAGAAACAACCTTGCAACTTGCAGACGATGGTGAGCACTTTTGTGGCTTGAGCAGTACTTGGGAACCAAGAAAACGTGCCTTGTATTTGAACACACCCTGCAGACAAGTATATGCTGGGCACTTTTTCCCATTGAATGAGGCAACAAAATGTACTGGGGCCATGTCCTCATGACCGGGGAGAAATTCGTCACTGTTTGTTTGTGTGTGTGCGTCAGCTCCCCTGCTGATGACTGGGGTGCACATCATCTGCCAGTACTTGTTGGCCAAGGGCGTGTTTGCTTTGGGGATAGTTCAGAGGGAGTCCAAGGAGCAGCTCTCATGGAGAGAGTATGCAAAGACAGGCACGCAACCATGATTGTCCTCTGGGGCGTCTCGTGTCTTGAGTGTCAGGTAGCAAACAGCGTCTCCATGTGTCAGGGCTGGGACCTGGGCATGTACACACAATCAGACGCCCCTTCGCTCCAATCTTGTGTGCCAGTAGTCGTCTAACAGATAAAAGAGCGCCTTGTGTTGTGTGACATGGCAGTCGATGGCACATTCTGCCACAAGCCGGGATTATGGACTCCTCAAATGATTGACTTCAAAATGTGAGCTCTAGCAGAAGTGTAGCTGTCAGCATCTACCCAACCATGTTGTGCACTGCACAGATGCTGTCTGTCATTGCTCTGGCATGCCCCAGCTTGTCTGCCAATCCTGCTCAGTGCGTTCCACACCACTCAAACAGGGTCTTCACTGCCAATGCGCACCCCACCTCATCTCCCATCCTTACCATTTCTGTTTGTGCAAATTACCTGCTTTCTTCTGTGGACATAGCCAAGGAATCGCCAAAGGTGCTCACTGGGTGCCAGAGTGCAACTTTTCAGTGGGCCGATCTCTTTGGTGGTTGTCCATTTGTATGGCTTCAGCCATGCTCGACTTGACTACATGCTGCTCAATGTGGAATGTTGGGAACACTGATTCAGTTCATGTGTACCTGGGAACAATGCTTCACCCTACATATGCAACCCAAACAAGAAGACTGCAAAAATGTTTCTTCCATCCAATGCTTGCCCTTGACGCACTTCATGATGTTGTGTTTGCCATTGCAGTGCTTCCAAATGGCACCTCCACTGGACTCGACATCGGGTTTTCAAACCTTTCCTTCCAGACGATCACTGTCAGTTTCTACACCATGTGCAAATCCACGACGCCAATGTTCCTTCTCATGTTTGCCTTCCTGATGGGATTGGAAAAGTGCGCAGACCCCTCCGATTTCTGGAACATCTCTGGAGATTCACCAAATCAGGAACATACTGATATGTTTTCTAAAGTACTGCATCGCATTGGAACTCCAAGAGCCTTGTATTGTTGTTTACCATATCATATGCAGTTTCACCACAGAACATGCCTGTGGGCAAGTGTGCTGTAGCTTGGTTTGGCATTTAGTATTCCAGGTAGCAGCATATCTGTCTAATTGTGTGTAGCTTATGGCGCCCTGTCTCCACTCCCAGCCAGCAAGCCTTCAAAACGTCCACAGCCTGGTATGCCACCCCTCCTTGATCTTGGCATTGTCCAACTTTCTACCAACATTGCAAGCTCGCTGCTAAAACCGCAGGCTCCCTTGTACTTAGGTATCGGGCTTTGTGTTAACCAATGGCCAGGCAGCTTGAGCCGCGCAGTGAAGAGCTTGCAGCACCAGGTGGATGTAGCATTGTCCTGTCCTCCTAAGATCGTGTATAAATGTTCTTGATTGCGTATTAAGAGCTCAACAGAACACTACTTCTCATTATAGTATAATACATTTATAATATATTGTATATATATAATATTCTCTTTATTTTATTCTCTTTATTACTTTTCTCTTAATTCTCTTTTGAAATTCACTTAGTTGCCTGCCAATGACGACAGGCAGCACCAAATCAGGTGGGCTGTGTGGTCTCCCGGTAGCTGCACCTGCACCTAAAACGCGATTGCTACGAAAATCAGCAATTTTTGCATTCATGCTGTATAATTTCTACTGTTGACAGTCAGTCCTGGGTGGATACTGTCTAGACGATGACTATTTTTGTGTGCGTGTGGGTTGTATCACGGCTGTCCCATTGCTCGTTGTTCTTTGCAGTGTGCTTCTTTGGCGGTGCCTTTGTGCTCCTGAAGACAGCTGGCCAAAAGCGATGCTGGTCAGTGGCAATGCAACTGCTGTGGTTCACTGTTTCTTATTCAACCTCGATTCAAAACTTCCATCGAAGTGTGACAAACCACTGACATTTACATCAAAGGAAGGCGATGCCAGACATTGTTCGCAACCGCAAATGTTACCAAGGTGTTTTTGTGTCTTTCCACCTGCACGCCGCAGAGCTCTCTGCCCTTTGAAGGAAAGCCTCTTTGTTTTCTGTATCTGCAGGCCCAGTTGGCGTCTGGCGGGTGTGGTGGCCGTGATCAGCACTGGCATCCTGTTGCTGGTTTTCGGCGAGGCCGAATTCAATCTTGTGGGATTCTTGCTGGTAATGACTGCAGCTTGCCTGGCGGGCCTGCGTTGGACCCTGACTCAGATCCTGCTGCAGGGCACCAAGGGTGGGAAATCCCTTTCTCATGGTGGACCTCTGGATGTCCTGGAATCCCTTTGCCCAGGTGTGGGAGACTACTGCTGCATTTCCTTCCATGAAATTGTACTGGGGAAGCTTTTCATGCATTAAATGGGCAATTGGAACATTTCATGTGCTACCACTGACGACTTGTATAAGCAGCATGAAAATGCTGAAGATTGCACAGAAGTAATGGATGCTGTGTCACTGTATTATGTCATTAGTCCATGGTTTCAGTCTCAGAGTTCCACCAGTGATGCAGAATGTCCTGCTTCACAATTCTTGCGCAGGTGAGATTCGGCCACCGCATGGCATGTTTCCTTCCTGCTGATAAGATAATTTTGGAGCACGTTGGTGACCTGATAGGAAGAATGTCGCCATCCGCAGCCCCTGCTATGATGGATCCCATGTATGCTCCCTGAGTTCCCATGTTGCCTATGATTGTAGTGCAATCGTTGCTGAACTGTGCCACGTGCGCAATGGATGTGAGACTTGCTTGTCCCGCTGCTCCTTCTTGGAATGTGGATTTCCTTCTACTTTTCTTGTTCCAGCTTTGCGGCAAGCTTCTGGCGCGAAGTAACGCCGTTGTGGTGCTCTGAACCCGTCATTTTCGGAATTGTAATGACGCTCATAATACGAGCACTTTTGTTCCTAATGTGTCACAATTGTAATCGCCTGCAATGCACTCTTGTGTGGAGCGTGGTTTGGAGACGTCACAAGAAACGACACCCCGGTTGGCGGGAGCACCCTTGGAGTGTTGGCGCTCTTTATGACAACAAGACACTCCATAGGCTTAAAGACATCATAAGAAACGACATTCCACTCTGCTGGATCATCCTTGCGGTGTTGGCATCCTTCGCGATGGCGAGCCATCCCACAGGTTCCCACATGCTTGCTTCCGCTGCTGGCCAACTCTTTGTTCTGGGTTCCCATTTCACCCCGCGAGGCATTTGGAGACCACAGCATCATATTTCATGAAGCGGAACAGCATGTCACCGTCCCTTTGCTCAGGGGCTGGGCCCGCCGTACATATGGCGCTCCTTCTGATCCATCATCCCTGACGGCCCAGATTGTCCATGCAGTGATGGCGACCTCCGTCCTGGCCCTGTCGCTGTTGACCGAGAACCTGGAGGACCTGCCAGCTTCCCCCTACTTCCACACCTTCGACCACACCGTCAAATCGGCTGCGATCATGGGAGGCCTTGGGGCGGTCGCGTTCTTGATGGTGTGGACCGAGTTCAAGGTGATAGCGGAGACGTCGGCTCTGACGTTCATGGTGGCTGGCACCCTCAAGGAAGTCGTCACAGGTGACTGCGGCTTGGGGCACTGGCGACAACGGTGCCAAAGACACGCTGAACATGTCACGATTTGCTGCCCTTTGCGTGGTTTTAACTGGGGTACGATTAGTAAAAATTCCTCATGGATTATACGGGGAACCTAATTGCTTGGAATGGCCATCATGGTTGTCTGTGGTGAATGCATGCCCGCCAGCTGTGAATGGCATGAGGTGGTGGCCTGCCGCAAGGCGCCCATCTCAGGAGTTGAATATTGTGGATGCGCTGAACGTGTGGATGTGGTCCCACGATGATGTTCGATACTCAGGATGTGACCAAGGACATCGTAACCCCATATTCAGGTACTGAACCGTGCAGGAGTTGCCCTTTCTGCTGTGCGTCTCCCCAACGACAGACCTTGCCCAAGGTAGATTAATGTCACAGAAGGTACCCCCGGGAATGGCAATTAGTATAAATTGCACCAGCACACTTATAGCTATAAATTGCTGCCAGAACGAAAGAACTTCTGTTCACATCGTGTAAGACGTGCATAGACGGAAAAGCGGCTTTAAACATACGATATTGTAGCATATTCAACCCTTCCCCATAGTAACGTAACGCTTGGCCTTTTTGAGGGAGAAAAATATAAATATGAGCATAAATGTAAATATAAATATATAAATGTAAAATAAATAAATAAACTAAAAATAGAAATGAAAATGAAAATAAATGATAAATAAATAAATAAATAAATATAAATATATATATATATATTGGTGGAGTAAAATAAGAAATAAATAACGCTCTGAAAAAAAAGCGGAGCAAAAAGTGTAGCGTTAAAATTTTTGATGCTGAAGGGTTGGATGTACTACGGCAAGGTAACCCGCTTGAGTCCCATTTCAACGCATAGTTCGCCGCTGGTGCGGCAGCCACCTCAGCACCACCCAGTGCAAGAGCGACACTGCATGAACTGGGCAAATTCATGCCATCCTGTGATGCAAACGGGCGCGTTGAACGTTTTCGAACCAGCCTTGCCAACGCGTTCCGCGTGTTGCCCTGTCCCAGTGCTGGCGGCGGTGTTCTTTTATGACGAGCACTTCGGCGTCATCAACGGCGTGGGCCTGGTGGTCCTGCTCACGGGCGTGTCGCTCTACAATTTCACCAAGTACCAGAAACTGAAGCAAGGAGAAATAAAGCCGGCCAGGAGGGGCGGTCACCTGAACCTCAAGCGGGACTTCTCTGCGGACGCGCTTGCGGCCACAAATCCGGAGGGCGTCCCAGCCAGCGCCCCAGGGGAGGTGGCCCTCTCTGCCACATACTTTAGGCACAAACTCGGCGACGAAAGAGGGGAGCCGACCGGTGAGGGGCCGGGCGCGGTGGAGGAGGGCGAGGGGCCTCAGCCAGATCAGTAATGTTGCTCATCTCCCCAACTGTTAGTAGTTGGGGAGGGACGAATTTCGGGGGTAGGACGAGGTATTGGGTGCATGGCAGGCCGCCCGTGCTTTCTAGGCAATGGACGAGTGGTGCGGCTGACCTGAAGCGTGCCGCTCCTCGTAGGATTAGGGAAAGTGGAGTTGCTTTTGCTGGAACCCCGAGTCCACACCTGGGCGGGGAAGGGCGCAGTTGAAGATGGGGCGTGGGGCTAAGAGGCATTGAAAGGGTCCAGATAGGTTGTGAGTGACTCCAAGGACCGTCGCTGATCATGGGTGTCAGAGCACGTCGGAGCACTGTCCTTGGCAATGTCGCCAACTGGGCGATAGACGATTGGATATGGAAGGCAATTCTTTCAAGTGGATGACGGCGCTGTTTCGCGAGGACAGCCGGAATTCGGGCTTTGGGTTGTCAAGACACAACTGTGGAGAACGCATGAGAGATGAAGGCTGAGGAAAGCGAGCGTTTGCGGCTGTTGTTAATTGGAAAACACATGAAATGTCAACAAAGATAGTGCTGTGTCAAAGTCGCGGGCGAGCAGACCTCGAAATATGTTCACAGACGCAAAAATCGTGCTTACAATTGGGGCGGTGCTGTCCACCCGAGCCACGCGGGAGCACATGTGTGTGTACATGTTTCTGGGGGATAAGAAGACTGCCGTAAGAGCAGGTGCGTGTCTTGGCTTCGCTGCGCATTTGCCTTTTTCACCCATTGAGGCGGATACCAGAATGTGGCGAGCGAAGGCCACCAGGGACAGCAAGCGGCAGTGAAAACACTTCAGAGATCTCGTCACGATGGTTCTTGCAGAATTGTCGTGAAATGCAGTGGTACGGGGCTTCGTTCTGGCGATCCATCCGTATCGGCCACCTGCGCGACTTCTCTTCTTCTTGCTTCCTTGCGCCACCTTCTTGTTGACTAATCGCGCCCAGTCATCCACGAAGCCGATGCAACATGGCAACAAGAACGCCTGCAAGACTGCACGGTTTCGCCCTGCTCAGGGGAGCAGATGCCCCATCGAAAGATGCGTGCTCGAAAGGTGCAGGGCAGGTTCCTGCCAGCGACAGCTTGCTCCATGAAAGCAAGATTCCATTTACGCCCCTTTGTGTGTAAGCAGGACTTTTCCATTGTTGTTAGTGACGCTGTACTGGTTTTGCCGCTTGTGATTAGAGCAGACGATGGATGTCTACTGCACATGCGCTGGTTCAGCGGAGTGCCCATTCCCTTTTATGTTTCGTGCATAAATGGCTCAGACCATACCGTGCAGCGCTCAGCGCCGCTGAATGCTGTGAGTCATTCATAAACAAAACACAAAGAGAAAAGATGAACCACTGAGAACATTGTCAGTGATGAGCGAACCTTAGGAGCGAACATACCGGAGAGGTGGATGGACAGGGAGGGAGGGCTACAGGAAGAATCTACCTCCTGCGCTCTGCAAGAATAATCCTAATTGCTCCAACACCACAATGCTCACCTTCCAAATTGTTCTTGGCAATACTCAGTGGCCAAGTCTCTACATGCAGGGTTCCGCGGAGCTGACATGTGCATTGTATTCTTCACGGCCGTTTGGGTCATGGTCTTTGACGGCCCCCGGAACCTATGCTGAGGCAAGCACGTCCTTATACTGGGCACCCGCTCATAAGCTTTGGCACAAACCTGAATGAGATACCGTGTTGTCCAGGTTGCACCTTCGTGGCTGGCTTTTGCCAGCATCGTTTAGTTCTGGGACAATGGGCTCTGCTACACTTGTCTCTTGCGTGGCTCATAAAGCGGCGAACTTCTAGGAAGCTTCCCGCACTTTGTAATTTCCTTCCCCTCCAGGTTGTCCAGTCGTGCTGAGGACACCCTCCGGTTGCCCCAGGGTGTTGTGAGGGCAACTTTCTGGAAAACAATTTCAGGGCTGGTATCCGGCAGATTTCCGGCCACGGCATTTGGGGCGGCGTCCACGTCCACCTGCGGCTGCTAAGAAAGTTGTGCGGGGCGGCGCCGGGCAGCGAGGAGACTACAGCGCCACCACACAGTGAGTGGAGTTGACGAGAGCTCAGGTGGCGGAGAGGGGCAAGCCTTCAATGAACCACCAAAGTGTGACCATGTGGGTAGTGGTCGGAGGAGCCTTGGCCGCAGGCGAAGGGGTGGGTGGGGAAGGGGGTGGGAAGCAGCGCTCATGGGGCACAATACCCTTCTGTTTGAAATGCGCGCTTTGGAGGCCCACTGGTTTGCACTGGGCGGCGCCCATTGCTATGCAGACGATGTGGCTGTGCATGGTTCGTTTGCCAGAACGACGGGGCTGGGTTCCTGACATGCAGGCTTGGTCTGCTGCTTCGAATCGCCAGTAACGCTGTCAAGGCAGTCCACAAGGCCAATGCCGGTGACGCACAGCAGCCACCAACTTCGGTGCGCCTGTGCAAAGGAAACCACAGGAAAGGCAAGCTGAACAGCCCCGATGGGCTCCTTTGAAGAGTGGCTGACTGCTGTAATCAGTGACTCATCGTACATCGTACAGGCCTCAAGCACAACCTCCATGCCATCAGCCCTTGAGCGCTGCGTTGTCAATGCACCCACTTCAGCTCTACAACTCGTCTGGTGCAGGTGGCGCTTCCTTTGATCTTGTCTCACACGCACCGGCGAGCTTGACACAAAGTAGGTCTTTCAAACCTGACCAAAGCCAGTCGCTATCAGTGCATTGACCATCAGGTTCAAGCGATGCAAGACCGGAAAGGGCAAATTGTGATAACAGTGATTAACATAGCATACAGTACCTCGCGCATTGATGCATCGGCAACATGCTGCAGAAAGTTTTCTTTCAGGAGCACGAAACTGTCATGTAACCTGCACCCCTTTCTGAGTGAGGAAGGCAATCTGCGAGACTGCAACAGGATGCAGAAGTTTGCAGCATGGGTACTCTATACCTTTTATCAATGCACATGAGAAAGGACACCAGAACCAGTTCACAGCATTCGGCAAACGAGACATGCCTGTGTCCTCATCAAACGACTCTGTGCGAATGGCCTCGACCAAATCGTCTTCATGCTCCTCGATGAGCCTCCCACAGTAGGACAGCAGCTCCTTTTGTTTCACTGCACCCTCAGCATCGGACATGCCAAACGAGATGGCCTGCGCCTGCTCCTTCAATGCCCAACCCTGTCGAAGAGTGCCCCCTTCATTGATATTGGCATAGCCCCAAGTGTACAAATTCATTCTTCCGCACAAGTCTTCCAGCAACTCCACCATCCTGAGCTCGCTGAACCTGTGGCAAGTGCACACACTAGTCTGAGAATACAGCTCCTGCTTGAGGCCAGAAAAATTCATTCAGGTGTGTGTGGCAGGCAGCAACTGAAGGAATACAGGTGAAAGACAGATGGAATTGTCACTTGCAAATGAGAACAAAACCACACAATTGGCATCCACCTGAACGGCAAGGATCAAGGGGTTCTTTCTCATCCCATGGAATGGACACACATTCCAAGTGAGCGCAACAAGATTAACAGGCCCATATGAACTATTCAGACAAATGTGTTCCCGTAAAGAGCCTGACCTGTACTCTATCACCTTTCCATATCTGTTCCCGTCCGAGTCCAGCCTGTGCCTCAGATCCACAGAATTTCGGGGGCCCTCCTCATCCATCCGGGCTTGCAGCTCACCCTGTGAGCATAAAATCCATGGAGGACATTTGTAAATATGTGAAAATTAAAGCCCTTGTGCCTTGCCAGTGATGAAACATACAATCACAGTGCTGACCACATGGGCCTGTGAGTGCAAAAGGCGTGTCCAGGCAGGCAATCAGCCACTCGGCGAACAAGAATCCAAACTCGGCTGCGAACAACCGTTGTTTTGTTGAACAGTATGCTAAACAACCAACTGCTATGTACAGTGAAACGAGGACCTGCCCATATTCAAGCGCACGAATCTCGAGCCCCTTGTCCCTCCCATCCCCCTGGAGTTTGAATTGCCGAACCTGCCATGTTCTGCAGCATTTTCACCACGCTTCCAGTGCTTCAGCGCCCAGATCGCACGATCTTAGAATGTTGGCGCCCGCGCATCGCCCCCGCCCTGCTGCACCGCAAATCTCCCCACCCACCCTGTTTCTCACAGCATCGAAAAGAGCCTCTCAAACACTTGCTTAGGAGGTGGTGCCGTTTGTATGACCTGTTTCTCTTTCTCTCGTGAACAAATATATGTTCCCCCGCCCCCACCCCCCACCCACCCACCCACCCACCCCCCTCCTGTCTTCCCTGGACCCGTTACCAATCCACGCGTAACGCTGCGTGTGGCACTCCACTGCGATCGACTCACCGCCACGACTCGGCACGCTCCGCACTTGTCTTCGATGGCGCCCGCACGAGCGAAGGCGCAGGCCATCGAAGTCCACAAGAGCGCCAGCCTCCAGTCCATGCCGCACGGATTGGCACCTGGATCGAGCCGGGCGACGGCAGACCGGACGCGACAGAGGCGGAGGCCGGGCGCTCGTGAGGCTGGTGGAGTCGTGGCGATATAGGAAGGCTGCGCCCGAAGGTAAGTCACCCACTTCCGAACAAGTGCTGCTCAGGGAGCCGGGTGCCAACTGCCAAGTACTGCAAACACTTTAAAGTACTGGGGGTGGGGAGCCGGGGGAGCAACCGCTAATGCACTTGATAACGCACTAAAATACTGACAACGGGCCGTGCAAACACGCTAAAGTAATGGGCAGGGGAAGCAATTGCTCATTTTCTTCTTGCCCATTAAGGTACTGGGCAAGGAGCGTGTAAAAGCGCTAAAGTAACTTGGCAGGGGTGGCAATTGCTCATGTTCTTCAAACACGCTAAAGCATTGGGCAGGGATTGCGTAAATGCAACACTATTGCTGGACAGTATGGTACAAGGATCAGTATTTTATAGTGCGTAGTTGACCATTTCTTCCCTGACACGGCACTATGCGCCAGAGTTCTGGACAAGGAGCGTGGCGATGGCCTGGCATTATGTCGACGGTATTGCAACCCTGTGCCGGACATTCTCACATGTTGTTGCCTCCGTCAGGGTCGGTGCGTCCTTCCAGTACATTGCGCGCCTGGTGCAGGGCCTTGAGCGCAACGGGAGTTGGACAGGGAGGGGGCGCGGATGGATGCCTGTGACATGCGTCCGCCCATCGCGTACGCTATGGGAGGGCGCTGAGGCGACGTGATCGACTGGGGCAAACGGAGGTGGGCACCGCCAGGCAGCTCATGCTACGCTTTCACAAGCAAAAAATGCCAAAACAAACGGTTTTGAGTCGTGAAAATTTCGCTTAAGCCGTGCAAAATCATGTAAAAATCATGTACACTCACTTAATCGTTACTAGACGTTTTGGTCCCATTTCTATGCGATAGTACACGATTTGCCAGGATTTCTACACGATTATCGATCGTGTTACAAGGGGCACTATTTTCAAAACCGTTTGTTTTGGCCTGCGCTTTACTCGTGCTTGCTCCTCATTGCAAAGCGAGCCCGCAGCGTCAAACAAGGGGTCCGACTGCACGTCGACATCAATTTGCAGATATTCAGGTTGACGACCCGTGGTTGAAAATTTGGCCGCGGGCGCCATGAATTCCGTCAGTGCGAGCCAAAGATCTGGTTTTGGAGATAATAAAACGTACCCGATAATGCCACGATCGCCATCTGAATTCGCAGCATCGAACACAATTCTAGAAGGCAGCTGTATTCTTCATACGAAAAGCATGGATGCATGTGCAGGTTATGCTAGTATATTTATTGTATTTTATTTATTGTATTATGTTATTTTTATGCTCAAATACACATAACAGAGGAATTTTTAGCTGTGTGCTTCAGGCTCGGCGGAAGAGTGCTCGCCGCCATGGCTGGCCAGCCACAACTACAATTCGCTATATGTGTACCATATCGCTGCTCACTGTCAGCCAATTTGAAGCTGTCATTTGGAAGAAACTTGAGGCCAAAAAGGACGGGACTCTTTTTCTCATTCAGGGGATATAAAGAAAAGAACTGTGAGAAATGGATGAACATGGGCCACATACATTTTTCCAATTCTCACTAAAACAAGCGTTATCTATTGTGAACAGTTGAGCCCAATATATGGACCTTTGCACACGCTCAAAGCAAAGAGGCTAAATAACTGAGGCTACCAACAGATTTCGCTCAATGTCGAGTCATCATGTCAACGTTGAATTTGTAATTGGGTTGTGGTAGATTATTGTGGGCTAGAATTAGGTGATCCAGAACTGGTATTCACTCAACGCTAAACTGCATCACAACACAGCCCAACTCGTTTGCTTTGCTTCAAGCGATGGTGGTCTTGCAATGCGGCTGATGAACCCCTGCATGCGGTGCGCACTGGATGGAAACCCTTTAGCCCCCTTGCCTCAATTCTGCCATCTAGAATCTCATTCCACCTCGTCGTTTAGACTTCGCTGCTTCATTATCAACTGCGGGACCAGGGACCGTGGCCACGTACTGTGGCAAAAGCCCTCTGCTTAGCTCCTACTAATGCAACTGGTGGTGCATTAACTTCCCCCCATTTCATCCCTTCCCTGCCACGGTTGACCCCCATACCCCCTGTCAAACTTGCTTCCTGTCGCTCCAAAGGCTCGTTTCTCAACTCCCAAACTCTCCCAAAACCACCACGATGCGGCAAATGCCCGTTATCACCTGTCAAAGGAAAAAACCACTGTGAGTCTAATTCCAACCTCTGGCCTCAATTGTGGTCAACACAGCCCGATCCAACCATGCACGCACTGTCTCCCATTCCAACGTCCAAAGCCGATCGGAAATTCAAGCAACCGCCCAGCCACTCAACCTCAAATAATCTAATATTTCAGCGTCGTTCTATCGATCGTTCGCGAGGATCTGGGCTATCGCCAATCTGAATAGTTCACAGCCCGCTAGTCCACTTCAACTAGTTCCACGCCATTGCATGTCTATCGTCCGCTTTGGATCTGGCGGCACCCAGAGGCCAGAGAGTTTGAGCCTCTGTTGATAACAACGGAAGCGACAATCAGAGCACCCGCAACAATGATGGGCGAAATCCTTGGCCACCTTGGCTTCCGCACCTTCGACAGCACGAGAGGCGTGAGACAGAAGCCAAAGGACTCACAGGTAAGATATCATGGGATACCCTATGATTAAAATTCACAACAGAGAATTTCGGTGATGGGATGCAAACAAGCAACTTGGGGCACTGTGCACAAGCATGTGTATTCAAGCCAGTCATCATCCTCTTAAATGCAAGACCAATGCATCGTAGTGCATTGACGGATGGGATCCGATCTCTATTAACTTGACTTGATAGTCCCCTATTGACAGATTTTAAACGGATTAAGTTGATTTTGTTGCCGCTGTTAATGGATTTCTGGCTTGAAAATTAAATGGATATTCCTGCTTGAAGTTTATTGGATTGTATAGCGGATAACTCCTGCTGCCGCAATTTTCAGCCTATCACCCATGTCAGTCCGGGGCAGGCAATCACCCGAGCGAGATCGGGACACGGTCATCCCCGCTGCCGCGCACCTTCCCGACAACCGGGTACTTTGCGCTGAAGCGCTCGACCCACATTTGCAGCGTGTCCGTCTGGGACTCGTCCAGCCCCCGCAGGTCCGCGTTGCACAGCGCGCGGCGCACCTCCATGCACGCCAGCGCCCGGGCGCACTCGCGGCCCGCGAACACGCTGTAGGGGCACCCTGTGAAACCGACGGCAGGGGCGCATCAGCACGATTGATGGGGATTGGGGATGAGGAATCTGGAGCAAGGACACGCAACGCGCCACAAGGCCATGGGGGCGCCAGGGATGAACTCACCGGCCACAGTCGCCGCGCGGCGGCAAGGCAAAGGGAACGTGTAATCGGACCCTTTCCAGGAAAAGGGTAGGGAGAAGACTCCAAATTCCGTTAACGGCGAGGATTGGGCGGACATGCCTGCGGCGGGAGCTGCTGCGCGGGGGGCAATGATATCCGGTGGCCGGGGCGGTGAGCTCCAGCAAAGGCGGCTCGCCTGAGGCACGGGCGCATCTCCTTGGCCCTGATGCGGCCGCGCGAGAGGTGGCGGGGCAAGAAAACTCTTCCCGACTTGCCCTCTGCCCAGCGGCATCGCCTGCTCCGCCGCCGCGCTCTCAGTCCACGCACGGAGAAACACCAAACGCCCACTACACAACGGGCGCAGGAAGTTTCGACTCTTCTGCCCGCCACTGCTCACGAAATTTGCATCCATTGTCCCTCCACTTCCGCCGTCAATCCCGAGCGCTCAACCGTCGGCGAGGGCACTGCTCGGCGCGCCCCACCTGGCCCGTACAGTTTCTTCGACTCCTGGACGGCCGACACGTCGTACACAATCGAGGCGACCGCGACATAGATGGGGCCACCCCGCCTCCCGTCGAAGCGCCTCAGCTGGCCCAGAGTGAAGCTCTGCATCGTGCGACGACCCTCCCGCCCCAGTCCAACGAGCCGATTTCGCTTCTCGCGTCCCTCGTGGAGTCCAAAGGGCAAGCGCACCGTTCCTCAAACGCCTGCGCGCTGCTCCTGCAGCCGGGAAATGGCACGATTGAGTCCCTCGAGCAAAATTCTCCACAGCCGAGAATTCCCGTCGAAGCAGCGGAGGCATGTTCCTGTCGGGCTTCGGCTCCCAAACCCGGCTCTGCCCACCGGAATACCCGCGTCCGCCTGCGCCTTTGAATCTATTCCCATTGGCTGAGATGCGAAATGCGGTGGCAAACCGGCGATCCGCTTTCACCCAAGTCCCCCCACGGTTTGGCACACTGTGGGCAGCAGGCACGGTTTGATGGGCGGCACTAAAAGAACCGGGCCCGTGAGCGCCAGGTCGACACCGGAATGGCGCGATCCCTTGTGCTTGTCGTCGCATTATCGTCATGAAGAAATGTACCCAACAAGGCAAGGAAATTTGCACAAGAATTTGCACAAAAATCAAAGGACGACAAAATAAGCACGACAAGGCAAGGAAATGGCCGTCAGCATCTTATTCTGCAATTTTGCTGTTGCATCGTCCTTCCCAGAATTCTGGGAATTCTCCATTCGAATGGAGAATAAGGAAGGAGATGTCCAAAATTGGAGCGGACGGGACAGTGAACGCAAAGGACGCAATGCGGTCGCCGCATCTGCACGAAATGTTGGTCGGGGAGGGGCTCGAGGTCGTGAGCAAGAATTGATGCCGGGGTGGACCGGTTCGATCGACGCCACAAAATTTCAGTTACTGTTTTGTAGTCTGGTTGTTAAATTTAAAGGGGGAAAACTGATAACATCTCATTTCATGGAATGCCATCTACAACATGATTGAATGGCTGTCACTTTCTCTCAATGTTTCCCTTGCAACTTTCCAATATATAACTGGAGGTCGGTGGATGAAAGTCTGACGCACCAAGTCAACTGCAGCTACCAATTTGTACCCCAAACCTGTAGT